GCTGCGGAGCGGCACAGGGGCGAGCGGCAGCGCATCGTGAGGCCGGGCGGGCTGCTCGCCAACCGGCAACTGCCGGCCTGCACCGAGCTCCGGTACACCTCGCAACCTGTGGGCGTACCCTGCCTGAAGCTTCTACAAAAAAGCCCCAAAAAACCAAACCACCAAACTGTCGCTTTTAAATTTAAAACATGAATTGCTACCGGTTAAAGTAAAACTTTACTCTTAGACAAGTTTTTTTTTTTTATATATATTAACAATATAATAGCAAAGCCACGTCCTAGTGGCAAAAGTAAAGCGGTGCTCACAGCCACCCTGAGGCACTGCTGGTAAGGACAGCTTCAGCTGGGAGTAACGTCACACACCGCTGTGACTTCTCCCAGCAGCCACACACCATTTCCTCAGTTGTGATGTCAGCAAGTCTTCTCATCCACAATGACAGGAACCTCCCCAGATCTAGCAACTGCTCAAGCCACAGCAGTTACAGTATGCAGCTCTCCTGTGTAACAGAATAAAATAAAATACCCTGCTGCCTGAGAGAGAAATAAACACCTAAGTTACTATTTTGAAACCTCTACCCAGACTACTCCCTTTAAAAAGTTTGCAAGACCAGCCTCCCCTGTGAGTTAGCGACTCACGTTTCACTTTACTCTTCTAACAAGCAAGGTTTATTTTTGATGTATGACTAGATACTTGTGTCAAAAAAAAGACTTACCAGCAGACTGCTGCAATCCTTTGGCCTCAGACAGAACGTGTATGCGCACTTACCCATCCCAGCTGTTCACTTATTCAGAAAACCTGCTGGTTAAAGCAGTTTCCCTGCTCCAGCAATTCTTTGTTCAGGCTCTCGTTACATTGCTTGCTAGTATACACAAGATGGGAAACATTTTGTGGTCCAGTTGAGAAGAGGCCACTACGGGATCTGACGTGAAGGAATAGATCCCAACTTGTACAGAAATTAGTTGCCGACCTAAAAAGTTCAGGAACTTGCAACCTCCTGATTGCAATTGGAATAGACAGGGACCAATTGCTCTAGGGAAGTAATTAAGTTACAGCCTCAAGTATTCTAGAACCTAAGTGCTTGGAAAAAACCTTGAAATGGGATATAGATCTCACCAACCCCTCAAACAGTGCTGAGCAGCAAAAAGGTGCTGCTATAGTTCTAGATCCCTCGAGACGTATGAAATTGGCACAATTGTGCCACAGATCACTCTCCCCTCTTTTCTGCATCTGGCAGAAAACTCTGCTGTCTTCCTCAGTGGTGCTAACTCAAGGCACTATGGTGCTCTCTCAAGGCAGGTCAGGAAAAGGAGTGGGTTGTACTGACTTGTATACACAACATCCTTGTCTTGAGCCATTTATGATCTCCACAAAGGTACCTGCCCTTCTATACAAGTAAAAGTAAAGTTACACCACTGTAACCTGACAGCCAACAGGAAGACTACACATTCACTTAAGTAAGCATTTATTAGAGAATCCTTTAACATGAAATTATACAAATAAAAGTTTGTATAAACACAAGTCCACATTGTGTCATAACATGAATGGCAAAAAGAAAGTAAAAACCATAAAAGAAAAACTACTCGGCCGCTATGTACAGTTGGACACAGTTGTGTCGTACACTAAAAGTCTTTACAAAATAGTCATTTCCTCTCACGAAGATCACCCTCCATTCACTCACGATGCGCTGCAAGATGGCTTTGTTGCAGTATCTCCACCTAAAAATCAAGACAAAATGTATGTCAGATCTGTGCAAGTTACTACAAGAATCGTTAAAAGGTCCATTTTCATGAACTGCTTTAAGTCTTCTATATATTCCTTTCTTCACTGTTAAAGATCATATACATATTTTCTAAGGTAACACAAGAGGTTTTGTTACCCATCAGTAATTTATCTTCCCAAATATAGCCACTCAGCCCATTTAGGAAGCTGTTCCAGAACAACACACATCTGATTTAGACCACTAATCAGGCTCTGGATCAGTTGGTTTTTTTCTTTCCACTGGAAACACTGCCAAAAGGGTTTACAATTATTTGTTTATCCATCTGAACAACTGCTGTGCAAACACAAGTCAGGTCAATTTAGTTCAAACAGTCCACGTGCATATGATCTTTAACGTTTTTCCAGATTTAAAAGTTCGTTTTGGTTTGCAGATTTCACTATTAGCTATAAAAAGAAAAAAGCAAGCATTAAATCTTAAAGAATGCACACTTAAAATGAGGTTCCACAATTGAAATACAACACTAAACAGAAGACCAAATGATTAAGCTGTAAAGGCATTTATGTACTTTAACTCCTGTAAAAAACCATTTAAGTTAAGACACTTAATCTCCAAAAAGATTAAAAAAAGAAGCCAAAGTCTGAAGTTTTCCACTTTAATCTTTACGCTGGTACATGAAGTTGGAAGAGACCATACCACAGGACAGCGTTTTCTGGTGTATGCCTTGCGCTCTGCCTGCAACGTGCGACCCCAGAGATAGACGTGGTCAGGGTGACACACGGC